TTTATATAACATTAGTTTCTCATTGGCCACCTCCAGAGTCCTGGTGGGCTATTGTTCTTGAGCTCTAAGCTCAGCCAGTCTCTGGTACCCAGTCCTGAAATATTCCAGCCCTAGTACATAACAGGCTCCACCCCCAAATTTCCAGGAGTTTCTAAACCTGGATCTGGCAACCCTAAAAATTTTTTTGGGGGAACCAAGCATTGTACAAAAAAAATTAGCAAGCAGAGTTCCCACCACTATTTTAAATCTCTGCCTAAAAAGCTCCCTCACTAGCTTGGTCTCTCTCTCTGTTGGTCTGTTTAATAGACGCAATCGCAGGACTTGTGGAGTGGGCAGAGCCCAAGGTATGTCTATATGCCACCTTAAATTTTGGCTAGTTTTGAAAGTGACTCTCCTTCTGAGGCTTTCCTCCTTGGGCCTGACATCCTAAAGCTCTTTCCGACCCACACAGCTCAAGCTGCAGCCAAGCCACCTTACACACAGCTTTTCTGTTCCCCACAGCGCATACATGCCCGGTGCAACTCCAGGAGCAAGGGTTTTCCGAGCTGTTTTATCTCTTGGCTTTTCCTAGAGTCTGCCGGGCTGGGTGACCATTGAAGATGATCTGCCTCCCTCCCCCCTCCCCAATTAGGGAAAACTCTTTCCAGGAGCTGGAATGCGGAGTTTATTGTGCTCAGTCCCTTGAACTGGAGAGCGCTTGAGTCATGAGACAGGGCTCCGCCACAGCCAGTGTTTTGGAAAGGAAAGCAACATAGGAACTGAGCCTGTGGAGAGGAGCCTCATGGTGCTGAGCCAAGATCCAGATGATATTGCCACCGTTCCAGTGGCAGGCAGGCAGGCAGGCTGAGAAAACCATCTGGGCAACAGATCGATACACACATTTTAACGTTTCATGTTTTCTTCTGATCTGCAGAAGACAACTCCTGCATAGATTCTAACGACATATGTTGGGAGAGCTGGTTATAGTTAGTCCAGTCCCCAAAGCTAGTCGAGCAGAGTGCATTAAAGCTACACATGCAGGAGTGCCTTTGCACCAGGTATCCAAGCTTAGTCACAAAGTTACACAAAGCCAACTTTCAGACTAATAAAAATCTATTTCTGATCGAACTACATTCTAGATAGGAAAGGGTAGAGATAGGAGGGTATCCTAGTCTAACTTATCAAGGATGGACACAGATGGTGAGAGGCCAATCTGCATCATGGTGCCAAGGTGGAGACAGCATGCCTTCCCCCTTGGTGTGTGCAAGGAGAAGCGTGTTGTGGAAGAGGATGAACAGAAGGAAGGAGAGGCAATTCCCCTGAGATCTATCAGTCTACTTCAAAGCGACGGTGGCAGAAAACACAAGAAGGAAGCTTTATCTGACTCTCTTGCCACGTAGTCTGGAGGCTGAGGGGACAGCGACCAGTCCTTCATTGTAAGGATCTTAGATTCTAGCACAATAGAAATCTAGCTTTGGCTGTCTAGGAAGCCTCATTCTTTAATCAGGTGTGCCACTTAAGGGTGCCTTTCAAATCAAAGTTGCTTACAAGATCCCAGAAGGTCGGACCAGAACCAACAGGTTGAAATTAAACCAAAAGAGTTTTTGGCTAAACATTAGAAAGAATTTCCTGACAGTTAGAGTGGTTCCTCAGTGGAACAGGCTTCCTGGGGAGGTAGTGGTCTTTCCTTCTTTGGAGGTTTTTAAGCAGAGGCTAGACGGCCATCTGACAGCAATGCTGATTCTGTGAACTTAGGCAGATCATGAGAGGGAGGGCAGGCAGGGTTGCTTCAGTGCTTCGTTCTCGTGGCCCTTTCTTACATGCCCAGGGAAATGCTGATTGCCACTCTGGGGTCAGGAAGCAATTTTCTCCAGGACAGTTTGGCCAGGGATCCCGGAGTGTTTTTTGTCATGTTCTGGGCATGGAACAGGGGTCACTGGAGGTGTGTGTGCGGGAGGTATTTGTGAATTTCCTGCATTGTGCAGGGGGTTGGACTAGATGGCCCTGGAGGTCCCTCCCAACTCTATGATTCGATGTACATCCATATGTACTTAGTACTGGATCCAGCATCTCAGATTCTCAGCATATTGCATTGAAGAAGCTTCTGTTGCAAGTCTGAGACCCTAGACCAGTGATGCCTAATGAAATAGTGCCTGCCAGGGGGTTTCCTGTCACTCGGTTTCTCCTTCTGCAAAGCAAAAAGGCAATCCTAGTTTTTGTCCACCTTGATAGAAGAGGAGATGCTTCAGGAGTATCCCAGAGGAATCACCTTTGTATCTGCAGGGAGCACCCAGCTGCCTCCATCATAGGTGAATGCTGTGCTGGAAGCCTAGCCTCCTGACCAGGGCTTTTTTTTGTAGAAAAAGCCCAGCAGGAACTTATTAGCATAATAGGCCATATCCAACAGCAGGAACTCATTAGCATATCCAGCCACACACATGACAGAACAGCTCATTAGCATATTAGGCCACACCCCCATGTTACCAGAAGTGTGGTCATCCAGCCACACCCACCTTTTGCTTCTTATTCTGTTTACCTTGTTTGTTGTCAAAAGCCAGGACCTTTTTTTGGAGCAGGGACTCCTTTGCATGTTAGGCCACACACCCCTAATGTAGCCAATCCTAATGAGTTTCTGCGGTTGAGTGTGGCCTATTATGCTAATCAGTTCCTGCTGGGCGTGGCCAACTTGGGAGCCAGCCGGAACTCTGTTCCTGTGCGTTCCTGCCCAAAAATAGCCCTGATTCCTGACCCTAACATCCCATGGCAGCCATTTTGTGTTGGTGCCCACTCTGCATTCTTGGAACCCCAAAATTCCCATGCTGTTCAGTAGGGCTTACTAGCAGAAAAGTAGCCTTAGGGTTGCAGCCTAAATCACATTTGATTCATTAGAAAACCGTCTGCAGCGTGTGTGCCAATGAACGTTCAATAGAACAAAGGTTGAGTCCAGTGGCACCTTTAAGACCGACATGAAAGCTTAGGCCCAGAATTAAACCTTGCTGGTCTTAAAGGTGCCGTTGGACTCAAACATTGTTCTGTTGCTTTAGACCAACGTGGCTACCCACCTGAATGAACGTTCAAGACAGTGCTTACCTGAAACTTTGTCCCAATTTTGAAAACAACAACAGTGCAATAGAGAAAGGGAAGGAAGAGTGGGGTTCAGAGATATACTGCTCGGAAGTTGGTAGTGGGGTCAATGGGATGTGTGAACATTTTTTCTACTCTCCCATGGCCACTGGAAGCTCCTGCCTGGCACCCCACCCTGCTCCATCCTAGCTCACAGTACCTGCCTTTTACAAATTTATCTCCACGACCAGGAGAGCTGAGAATCTGATTCTGTTTACAATAAAAGCATCTTAGGGATCTGCTGTAGACACTGACCATTCTGTTGTAGCCTTTTGAGTCCCAAGGTTCTGCATGCCTCTCCACTGACCCCCTCCTTTCTGCTGTCCCCCTCCCCGGAACTTGGATTTGGATTTGGTATCCTTAACGGTTGCCAACTGCGGGTTTGGAAATGCCTAGAGATTGGAGAATGGAGCCTAGGAGAGTGACGTTTAGAGAGGAGAGAGACCACGGTAGGGCATAATGCCATCCAGTCCACCTTCCAAAGCAGCCATTTTCTCCAGAAGAAGTGGGATAAATGTTTTAAATAAATAAATAAATAAATAAATGAGCGATTTATGTAGTCTGGAGGTCAGCTAAATAAATAAGTGAGCGATTTATGTAGTCTGGAGGTCAGCTGTAATTCCAGGTGATCTCCAGTGCCCACCTGCAGATGGGCAACCCTGGGTATCTTCCTTACTTCCTACCAACTTCTTCTCTTGGATAAGAATACTCCGGGCTTCTGGCCTCGCTGTGTTGCGGGCCCAAAGAGCTAAGTTACCCATTCTGTAGCCATCTCCACTCTCGAGCATCTTTTGGAGGGTGAGCTATTTGCAGCAGAGAAGTGTGGAGAATGCCCCTGCCACCATTTTATTTATTTATTTATTTAATTTGCGGCTTATATACCACTCTGACCCCGAAGGATCTCTGAGCGGTTGACATATAACTTTTTACCTAACTAGGGCCACATTTTTTTGTATGGGGGGTGGTGGTGATGACCTACCAGCACCCAGTCAGCGGGCTCAGTTGTTGTTCAGTTCCTGGCTTAGTTGTTGTATTAGTTCCTGGCGGGCTCTTCGGCGCTTCACCTCCTGGCGCCCGGAACAGATCTTAATCCGCAGCTCCTCCCGGTGGGCTTCATCCGGTGCTCGGCAACGCGCCAGCCGCAGCTCCAGCTCCGTCCCGCTGGCTCCACCGCGCCACGTCTCCATGCCACCACGCACCACAACTCCGCCTCCGTCCAGCCTCCGCCGCGCACGCACGCTGGGTCGCCAGGGTTATTCCGCCGTCGCCAGGGTCATTCCGCCGTCGCCAGTCCTGCTGCATGTCCCCTGGAACTCTCTCTCTCCCAGAAGGCAGGTACCGGACTTGATAAACAGAAAAAAACTGATAGCTAAGGAAGTTGGTGTTATGTACTGGCATCTCCAGCTGGAGAAAAAAGGATCAGGTAGAAAGTGACATGAAAGGCCTCCACCTGAGATCCTGGAGAGCTACTGCCAGTCAAAATAGACAGACACTCCCCTTGGTAGACCAGTGGTCTGAAGCTATTGAAGGCAGCACCATGGGATATCTCAGCTGCAAAGAACTAACTCCACTGCTCAGGTATCTTCTATGTCTCAGGAGAGAAGATGCCTCAGGATCTTTCTGGATCATTTCCCACAGCCTGGGATAAAGGAATAAGGGATATGTCTCCTAATGAGAAAATTAATGATGCACAGATGGTTTTATTTGTAGCTTATTGGTACGATCACTGTAGATCCCTGTCTCTATGATTTTGAAAGCTATGGATTGGACTCTGGGGATCTGTTAAGCTCTCAGTGGGGCTTTCCTCCAGCACGAAGCACCGTTCATGAAAAATCTGTTAAAATCCAATGCTGGGTAACTTATGTGCATTTGTCCTCTCTTTCTCTGCAGCCGTCTGCCGCTATCCACTGGGCATGTCAGGTGGGCATATCCCTGACGAGGACATTTCTGCTTCCAGCCAGTGGTCTGAATCCACAGCTGCTAAATATGGAAGGTGAGGATTGGATGTGCCCGTGTCAGCGGCAAAGCCAGACTGATGGATCTAGACTCAACAGGAGCTGTGTATTTCGTCTCTCCTCCTCTTCCTCACCCTCTTTTCATTTTCTTTGGAAATAACTACCATTTTCCTTGACTTCATTTATCTTTGCCCTTTGTAGAACAGAATTCTCTGGCTCTTCACAATGGAGTGGCCAGCAAAGTAATTGTCCCTTCCAGGGCTCTTTTTGTAGAAAAAGCCTAGCAGGAACTAATTAGCATAATAGGCCACACCCAACAGCTGAAACTCATTAGCATATCAGGCCACACCCTGACACCACCGCTCATTAGCATATTAGGCCACAGCCCCGTGTTGCCAGAAATGTGGTCATCCAGCCACACCCACCTTTTGCTTCTTATTCTGTTTACCTTGTTTGTTGTCAAAACCCAGGGCCTTTTTTTGTAGTAGGGACTCCTTTGCATGTTAGGCCACACGTGCCTACTGTAGCCAATCCTAATGAGTTTCTGCTGTTGGGTGTGGCCTATTATGCTAATGAGTTCCTGCTGGGTGTGGCCAACTTGGGAACCAGCCGGAACTCTGTTCCTGTGCGTTCCTGCCCAAAAATAGCCCTGGTCCCTTCTGTATCCATGTCTGGCTTCCCAGGTTGACAGCTGAGCAGCTGCCAGGAGCACATTGACTGAGAACCAGGACTGCAGTCTAGGCTTTCTCTTAGTACTAGATCCAACAGTTCAGTGGTACACATACTACCTCTACCAGTCCAATACCTAGACCAACAGAGAATGAGCCCCACAGTCCCCTCTGACAGTGCAAGAGATTGCATTAGCTATGTACCTCTCATTGGCTGTGCACCCTTCCTACTCATAGGCGGGGTGTTTAAAGGGGCCTCCTAGTGCTGGTTTCCCATGGACCCTCCAGATGTTGGAACTGGTTCCATGTCTACCATCAGGATGATCTAAGGCATCAACCCCTTGCCAGAGCTTGGACCCAAACCTGGTTTCAGGGCAGGATTTCAGGCTTTGAATATGTCCAGTATTACTAAGGCAAATCAGGTGTGTTTGAACTTCGCATAGTGCATTTCTCCTACCATGGTTATAATGGCAGCAGTGCCCCCACACGGCTAGATTTAGGAAGGCAGACTTCCAGGCTGGAGGATACACTTCTAGGCAGCCTTGGGAAGTCTGCATCTCTCTTTCTCTTCATCAGTTTTTTTACAGAGTATTTCTTGTCCATCTGTGCTAGAACAGATAGACGGATAAAGAAGAGTCCTGTTGGATCACACCAAAGATCCATCTAGTACAGTTTCTGGTTTCCATTGGTGGCTGCCCACATGCTTCTGGAAAGCCCACACACAGGGCATGAAGTCAACAGTTTGTGCCTCAATAGCTGGTATTTGGAAATATACTGCCTCTGAAATGGAGGGCCCATTCAGCCATCATTGCTAATAGTCACAGAGCTATCCTCCATTTGACTGAGCCCCTCTCCTTCTTAAAGCCAACAAAACCAGTGGCCATTGTTGCATCTTCAGACTACAAATCACAACAATGAATTATACATTGTTTGAGAAAGCACTTCCTCTTGTTCCTCTTGTATCTACTGCCAGTTTCATTCGGTGAACCTGAGTTGAAATATGCTATGATCGAGATAAAAGTATTCACTGACCACTTTCTCAACACTAAGTAGGTGTTGTCTCTCTCTTTCTGTCTCTCTGTTTTTCACAGTAGACCATTCCCAAGGTTCCACCACTTTGGCATGTTCTAATAAGCTCTGGTGTCTTTCTCTCCTTTCCACCATCCATCACTAAGGCCACAGGGCCATGCCTCCTTCTCTAGACCTGACCCTGCTGGTTGGATGGGGAAAGTATGGTGGCAAATAAGGTAGGAGCAGAAGCCAGGGATGCTGATTGGGCACTAGGGTGGCCAGCTCCCCCCTGGGCACTGGTGGGGGACGGGGGGGGGGGTAGGGTTGCTGAGATCCAGGTTGAGAAACTCCTGGAGATTTGGGAAGTGATCTTGGGGAGGACAGGGACCTCAGTGGGGTACAGTGCCATAGAGTCCACCCTCCAAAGCATCCATGTTCTCCTGGGGAACTGGTCTCTGCAGTCTAGAGATGAGGTGTTAAACAGGGGGGGGGGGTGTCCCCAGGTCTCACCTGGAGGTTGGCATCCTTAACTGGCACAAAGAAGTGAGGTTGGTAACTTAAGTGTGGCTGTTTCCACACAGGAACAAATCCCCATTCTGCTGCTCTGATAGCTGTTGCAAATGGAAAGTAGCACCAGTGCTATTTCTGGACAGAGACTTCCACCTACCATACTGCCCACCACTGCTGGTGGGGTTTTTACCCATTTTTCCAGTAATGATTAAAAAGAACCAACAACTTCCAAGCCCACTGTCCTTAGGGTGGGGGAAATGGTGAGCAGAAGGGGAAATGACACCCAGTTTCCTCTTGGATCCTATATAACGTGCAAGGTACAGCTATATGCTATGTGCCCCTGTTAGACGTGGACTAATGCATCAGGCAGGACTGTTTATTTCCAGAGGGAAGCAGTGTATGGGAACTTCACAATCCTTTGAGGGGGAAATTTTTGGCATTAGTGTTGGGCAGTAATGACAGCAAAATTAAAAAGGGGAACAGAGATATGTAATGGCAGAAAATCAAAGCTTCCTGATTATTTTTCAGATTTAGCAAGGGGATAGCAATGTTCAATAGGGAAAAAAGTATGAAGGAAAGAGTATCTCCCTAGGCTGGCCTTCCTTCCGCTTTAAAGCCTCTACAGATGCAGTCTTTTTTAATTCTGGAAAAGCAATCATAGAACTATACATAACATGAAGTTCTGCTCTCAATTTCTCTTATGGTCTGGGGTGGAAACATCAGATACTTAAGTGATTTATTTCTAATTTCTCATATTCCATATTTATATTTTCCTCTTTTACCAAACCAGTGCCCCATGTTAAACAATTACCTAAATAAACTTAGACATCTCTTGGGCTGAAAGTCTTGGGGATTATGCATCAGCATAGTCTAGAACACTGATTCCTAGTGTAGTGATCATGGATACCATGGTGCCTGCCAATGTATTTCCTGGCACAAACATCCTTTTTCCCCCAAAGGAAAGAACTAGTCTTGGCTTTCTGCCATCTTATTGGAACAGCAGATACTTCAAAGAGTTCGAGAGGCATAACTTTTGTGTATCCAGACACAGTTGCCTCCATCATAGGGTAACGCTTGACTTGGAATCTCCAAACCTTCTGCAGTTGGCCCTAGCTCCAAACTTTCTGCAGACCTTGACTTTGAATCTCCAAACATTCTGCGATTGGCCCCAGTCATTTTGTTGTTGACTGACATTTTGTAGTGGCACTCTGGCAGGCAGCAGCCATTTTGTGGTGGTGACCACTAACTAAAGTAAATAATTGTTTTCAGTATTTAAACAATGCATACAATATCAATAAAATTGGTGATCCCTGGTAGAGACATAAGCATACACAGTATGTGCAATGATAGGTGCTCTCTGGTGGAGTTGGAGGGACAGATTAAATCTTTGAGCACAGATACATTAAAAATGACCAGTAAAGAAGAAAGTCTATTGAGCCTGTGAGCACTTACAAAGATTTGAGAAAGGGTAGTGGACACAACCACAAAATGGCTGCCATCGGAGGCAGGATCAATCACAAAATGTCAGCCATGGGGAACAATTACAAAATGTTGGGTAGTTTCAAGCCAGGCATCCTCCCATGATGGGAGCAGTTATTTCTGAACGGTCCTCCCTGAAGACCCTGAGCTGATTTCTCCTTCTACAGTATTTCCTGCTCCAGTAAGTTGGAGGAAAGCCACAAATGGATCTTTGCTTTGGGGGAAGAAGTGTTTTGCAAACAAAGCAAGTGAGCACCAGGAAACGCTTTCGTGACACCATGGTATCTGTAGTCACCATGTTGAGAATCACTGGTCTATCACTAAGAAGGTGCTGTGTGCTGCAGCAGGACCAGTGGCAGTGAGAGTGTTGGAACTCAACACTCCTCCAGCTCTAGAATAATGAGCTAGACCTGCCATATTCATTGTCCTGTCTCCTCTGTATTGCTCCAGGCTGGGTTCTGAAGAAGGTGATGGTGCTTGGTGCCCTGAGATCCCTGTGGAACCAGATGACCTCAAGGAGTTCCTGGAGATTGATTTGCATGCTCTGCACTTTATCACGCTGGTGGGGACCCAAGGCCGCCATGCGGGAGGGCACGGCAACGAGTTTGCTCCAATGTACAAAATTAATTACAGCCGGGATGGCGCCCGCTGGATCACCTGGCGGAACAGGCATGGAAAGCAGGTAAAAGACACGGTAGGAGTGTTACTCCAGAGAGGTACCATTATTAGTATTGAAAACAACCAGGGTTATTGAAGTGTAGTGGGTTAGACGCATGTAGAAACCACTGAGACAGATGCAGTGATCAGCATGGTTTCCTAGTACACAACAAGAACACAGAATACTGGCCGGATGGCCAACTATATAACCACCTGGGGAACACCCCCTAGGTCCCGTTGGTGGGTTCAAATTTCCCGCCACGGTCCTATTGGTTCCCAAGTGAAGAGACTAGGAGCCTTGTCCCTATTGTGTGTACCAATTCAAGCTCAGGAGTATTTGCTGGCCCATGGCGGTGGTCAGCAGACACAACAGTTATTGCAAAAATCTTCAAGAAAATCTGTGATAAACAACACTGTGAACAGACAATCAAAAACCATGGAAGACTCCTTGGGGTCTACATACGGATGTGCCGTCAAGTCACGACTGACTTACGGCAAACCCAAGAAGGGGCTTTGCTCCCTGGTCTGCCTCTCCCCACCAGATGCTGTTTTCCTGAGCTGGAACAGCTCAGCAGTATTCTGAGGATTAGCATCTGCAGCTGTAAGAAGTGAGAAATCACTGCCCCCACAGATGTTTCAGCTTGGGTAATTGGCATGTGGGTGGGGGGCAGGAGCGCCTCTTCCTCCCATGCCACAGTTGCAAGTCAAATCAGGTTCATACCAACTTCTCAACAGCTGCTGTGCAGCTGCTTGCCATAGAGTTTTTTGTCCAAATACAAGACCATCACCTGGATGTTGCCAACATGACGGAGTCACTTCTGGTACACACTGGATGTGATTTTGCCACATGGCTGGTGACATTGCCTGGGACTCCCTCCTGCTAGGCCCCCCACTGGCCAGCTGAACAATGGCAGGGGCGGGAGATCCCCTGCGGGGGTGTGGGGTGTGTGGCGCTGGCAACCCTAAGCAGCAATTTCTGCTGATTTCTGGATGCATTTTTGTGCCTTTAGTTTTCACTTCAGCTTTTTTGTCCCCCCCCCTTCTTTTGCGGCCGCTTTTATCTCACTCTTTTTCTGGAAGCCAGTTTTGAGTTGCCTTTTTCCTGGCTCAAGTGGTTAAGACGCTGAACTGCAGGCTGTGGAAGGTCGGTAGTTCAGCAGTTCAAGACCCGAGTGTGCCGCATGACGGAGTGAGCTCCCATCTCTAGATCCAGCTCCTGCCAACCTAGCAGTTCGAAAGCAAGAAATTGCAAGTAGATAAATAGGTACCACTTCGGTGGGAAGGTAACAGCATTCCGTGCGCCTTGGTGTTTAGTCATGCCGGCCACGTGACCACGGAAACGTCTTCAGACAGCGCTGGCTCTTCGGCTTTGAAACGGAGATGAGCACTGCAACCCTAGAGTCGGATTCGACTGGCTTTCGAGCAAGGGAACCTTTACCTTTACCTTTTAATGTTTCATTTGGTTTTCTTTGTCCCGCCCACTCCCACTCACCTCGAACTCATTTTTTGATGACTGGAATATGTTCATTTTCATCGATATAAATATGCACAAAAAATTAAAAGGACGTGTGCATGCTGTGATGCTACCAGTGATGCCATTGATGATGACAGCACCCTCCCTTGAAAAATCCTGATTATTTAAGGCATGTGTGGAAGAAAATAAACAGACTCCACAACTGTGAAAATGCAGAGGGAGGGCAGATGTGCTGAAGAACTGTGCCCAAACTGATTTAAATACTGGTGGATCGAATGCCAGGAAAATCAGGAGTAAATTGAGATTGAAACTATAACTGATTGCTAATTGGAAAAATCCTACACACATATCAATCAGAAGGTACCAAGAGAAGAATACAATCTGAACCCACAACATTTTAAGGAGACTGCTGGCATATCTGCTTTCTGCCTGCCAAACTTTCCCCCTTGCTCATGGTGTGTTTTTTTACCACAGGTGGTTGATGGAAACACCAACCCTTATGACATTGTCCTCAAAGATTTGGAGCCGCCTATAATTGGCCGATTTATTCGGTTTATCCCTGTGACTGACCACTCCACAAATGTCTGCCTGCGGGTAGAGATCTATGGCTGTGTCTGGTTGGGTAAGTACCACAGTCCATTAACTATGACCCAACAGGAAAGCAGAGGTACCATTTTTTAGAGCACTGAGGCCACTCACAAAGTGCTCTCATGTCTTTCAGTCCAAACTTACTTTTCCTATCCAAGGCTGAGCTCTGGGGGGGAAAAATGATTCTGCAAGTTTGAAAGAGAAGCTAAACATGCACAGTGCTTTTAGTTTTTTCGAAGGTGAACAATGCACCTGAAAAATTGTGTACATGTATGAGTGAGCCTTGCTGATGAGCTTAATTTTTGTACACTGATACTCAACTGGGTGTTGATCCATTTCATGTTCTTTTTCCTGACTAAGTAAGGGACAATTGCAGCATTTTACACACTCCAAAAGTGTTCACTGGGCCAAATGAAACAAAACACAGACTGTTGTGTTATGCTACCCATGGGTCTAGCCTTTTTTTTTTTTTGGACTGCATTTTAGATAATTCTTAAAACTGTGGTGTATATCCCATGACAATACTCAGCAACGTTTGAATCAGGGTTGCCAGCCTCCAGGTGGGGCCTGGAGTCCTCCTGGAATTACAACTGAACTCCAGACTACAGATATGAGTTCCCCTGGAGGAAAGGGCAGCTTCAGTGGGTGGACTCTATGGAATACCATAGAGCTTACGAAGATGGAAATTCTAGAGGGACATCACTCCCCAAACTCTGCCCTCCCTAGGCCCTGCCCCGAATCTCCAGGAATCTCCTGAGCCAGAGGTGGCAACCCCAGTTTGAAGCCTTCATCTTCCAGCCTAAGGTACTGGGCATATATATTAGTTAATGTGGCAGAGTTGCACAGTCATAGAGGCATGGTATTGCGTACAATCAGGGCTTTTTTTGTAGAAAAAGCCCAGCAGGAACTCATTAGCATAACAGGCCACACCCAACAGCAGGAACTCATTAGCATAGTAAGCCACACCCCTGGCAGCACAGCACATTAGCATATTAGGCCACACCCCCATGCCACCAGAAGTGTGGTCATCCAGCCACGCCCACCTTTTGCTTCTTATTCTGTTTACCTTGTATGCATGGGAAAGAGCAGGTAGAGAAAGAGGTACTTTTCTCCCTTTCTCACAATACAAGAACTCGTGGGCACTCCATGAAATTGCTGAGCGGTCGCGTTAGAACGGATAAGAGGAAGTACTTCTTCACCCAAAGAGTGATTAACACTTGGAATTCACTGCCACAGGAAGTGGTGGCGGCTACAAGCATGGACGGCTTCAAAAGGGAATTAGATAAGCATATGGAACAGAGGTCCATCAGTGGCTATTAGCCACAAGGTATAGATAGGGGCTCTGGGGCAAGTGATGCTCTGTCATCTTGGTGCTTGGGGGAGTCAACAGTGGGATGGCTTCTAATGTCCTGGCCCCACTGCTGGACCTCCTGATGGCACTGGTATTTCTGGCCACTGTGGGATACAGAGTGTTGGACTGGATGGGCCTTTGGCCTGATCCAACATTGGCATCTCTTATGTTCTTATGTTCTTATATTATTGGAAGGTTTTATTGTCATTTTAAATGTCCTATTTATTATATACTGTATTGTATTTTGCACTCGGCTTTGCCGCATGTGAGCCGCCCTGAGCCTCTGGGAGGGCGGGATATAAATCAAACTAATAAATGCTGGGTGTGGCCAACTCAGGAGCCAGCCGGAACTCCGTTCCTGTGCGTTCCTGCCCAAAAATAGCCCTGCGTACAGTAATTAACTCCAAAGAAGACTATTGCAAAAAGATAAAACTTTTATTGAGGTAGATTCAATTCACATCCATTTTGCAGTCAGAAGGAGGGAGAGAGATGGCTCATCTAAAGAATACTCTTCCCTATCACAAATGACCAGCTACTCTGGCAGCACGTGCGTGCGAGATTGTGTGGCTTTTAAGGAGAGACCTGTGTCTTGCTCCTTGCAGAGCCATGAGAAGAGACAAGGAGAACAGGGAGAGAAGGAGGAGTCAGAGACAAGCTCCCAGGTTAAGACAAAGAGAGGCATCCCATTCATTGAGAAGACAGGGCCTTCTGCAGGTGCTAACCTGCAAATGGGCAGAATCAGCAACTGCCTGTAGATGTGCCTTCTCTGTTGCGACCCCCACCTAATGGGATGGCCTAGCCTGAGGAGGGTCAGGGAGGCTCCCACTTTCCTGGCTTTCCACAAACTCCACAAAACTGAATTATTCAAGAGGGCCTTCCTATGTAGGCAATAGGGTAGTATTGTACAAAAGTTATTTGGATAAATTATTAGGTATTGTGATGTATCTTACTGTGTATAGTTTGCTGTATATTTAATCCAACTGTGTAATCTTGCATCATTTAATGTGTCATGTTAACACTTACGCTTTGCTTCACTTCTGGGTGTTTTTTTTTTTTAAGATTTCTGGTTAGTTCTACAACCCAAATCCTATTGCGTTGTTTATTGAATGTTCCATCCTGTTGATTGTATTGACTCACTCTGTGTAATATGCCTTGAGTCCCAGTGAGAAAGATGGACTATAAATAAATAAATAAAATCTAGATCAGTATAGCAGCCCCCAGTGATCAGGCATGCTGAGTCACCTTATTCCAACATAAGGAGTAGGGATGGGCACAAACCAGGAAAATTGAGGTTTGTCCCAGTTTGTGGTTCATGGGGTTACATGAACCATGAACCTTCAGAAACCTCCCTGTTTACAGAACCGGTTCGTTTCATGAGGTTAGTGATTTGGTGGTGGTGGAGATCTGAGATCTTCCCTCCCTCCTTTCTGCTGGCGGTGGCTCCCCAAGGCCAGCAGAATGGAGATCTCGCCTGGAAGTGAGTGGACTCACTGCTTGGACTTCACTTGTGCATTCCTTGGCTTGCAAAATCCATTTAAAGGGAACATTTCCTTTAAATGGCTTTTGCAAGCCAAGCAATGCACAAGTGAAGCAGCAAGTTTACCCAGAAGTCATTTCCCCCATTGCTTTGCCAATTAATTGATCGGTGCCGGCATGTCTGCCACACGAACCCTGACACAAACCGCACACACCTCTGGAAAAAACCTGGAGGGTCGTGGAAGGTTTGTTGCAAATGCAATTGTGTGACTTTCGGCTCACAAACCAGGCAATGTTCATCACGAAATTAGGTTTGTGAAGAGATTCCCTAATAAGGAGCCTTCCTTTGCTGGAGAAGAAGCTGCTTCATTGGAAGAAGGGTTCTTAGGCTGAAAGAAGACTTCAGATTTTGCTGAGTGGAACCTTAGGATATAGCCAGTGGCCATTCCAGATGGGTAGCCATATCAGTCTGTAGCAGCAAAATAAACAGAAGTCATTGGTATTTCAAAGATTAACATTTATAAGTGTCCGTGAGTCAGAGCTCATCATGCTGCTGGTGAAGTAAAGATAGATACAGTACATCTATACCTTGCTGAGGTCCCTCCCCTCCCCTCCCCAAACCCCAGCCTCCTCAGGCACCATCCCCCCAAATCTCCAGGTATTTCCCAACTCAGAGCTGGCAGCTCTACTTGTAGTGTTGTGTGTGACCAAAGGGCTTTCAGCCTGGCAACAGAGCAAGAGTAACCCCTGTTCTGTCCCTTAACAGATGGGTTGGTTTCATACAGCGCTCCAGCAGGGCAGCAGTTGGTTCTCCCTGGTGGCACTGTGATTTATCTCAATGATTCGATCTACGATGGAGCTTTTGGCTACAGGTGGGTTCTCTAGTACCTTGTAGTGGAGGAAGAGTTGCGGGTGGCAGACGGGGGTGGGGTGGGGAGGATGGATGGACAGGAGAATGTTTCAGAGTGAAAAAAGCAGGGCATATGGAGGTTTTGGGGAGAACTAATATATTTTCACATTAAAATAATAACAATAAAGAGTAAACTGTAATTATTTTCCAGAAAGTCTTGACCTTTAAGTAACTTCTTGCAGTTCCTTTCTATAATATATTTCATCGCTAGAATCATTCCTTTAGTATCCACTGTCACAACACATGGGCACACACATACCAACAGACACATCATAATCACATACCTCAAGTGAATATCCCTATTCACATGTTGTAGTGAACATATGTACATGAATAAGGGCTCTTTTTGTAGCAGGAACTCCTTTGCATATTAGGCGACACACCCTTAATGTAGCCAATCCTCCACGATCTTACAGTAGCCCCGGTAAGAAGAGGTCTGTAAGCTCTTGGAGGATTGGCTCCATTAGGGGTGTGTCACCTAATATGCAAAGGAATTCCTGCTACAAAAAGAGCCCTGTTTATGGTACATATGCTTGTAAGAAAGATCCAATGCATGTTCACTTTACAAACAACGGGGGACTGGTACCTGGGTAAATGTGGGATTTAAATCACAAGTTCAGCAGTGCATTCATTGCAGATAACATGAGAATTATTCAGCACATGTCCAAAGAAGAACCAAGTGTACACTTGTTCCAGGTTCGAAGAAATCCCAAGGAAAAGATACACGAGATCCAGGTTTGCTTACAAGGAGATTTTTAATAAAGCATCAGACTTACAGAAAATGAAGGCTAAGCTTCCATCAGCTGGGCCTTGAGTGCATACATGTACATCAAAGTTTGCCCGAATCTGAGCGAGACCCCATGTATAGCTAAAACTAGGCATCTTATACCCTAAATGCTGGCTACCAGTCAAGTAATCATTAATTAAACTATCCCAAATACTTGGATGAACCAGGCTGAATTGCACCTAGTGTTCAGTGGTGGGAAGAAACAACCCAGGCTTTGAAAAGAAGGGCTGCTAACAAGCATGATATAACAGATAGTTCTCTTGGGAGCAGCCAAGCACTCTTTCACAAGATTCAGGGCAATTAAGCACCAGAATGTAACAAAGATGGAGTCACGCAGGCCATACATTCTACCTTGGACGGTGGAGGATGCTCACAAGACTGCCCGTTACAAACTTTTCTTGCCTCTGAGGGCTGGATCTTCATTGCCCTGCTATTTGGCCTCCAGGTGGTAGAATTCTAACAAAGCTTTTTGAGATTTCTTACATATGGCATTAGTACATTGCAAACAGAAAACATACCAACAATATAGGCTCATACACATAAACAAAGGCTGCACATTATGGTAATACCAATGGCTAAAGCTCATTTCACCACTACCCCTCGATTCCAGAGAACGAGTGCACAATGGAATCAAAGAGAGGGTCCTCTAAATGATGAATTTTGGCACTCTGAATATATAAGGGCTAGACTCTGTGCATCAGGAATATAAACACGCATTCTTGTTGAAGCATGGCATACACCCTACCCTGGGCTGCAGTGATCATGTCTAATGCTAACCTGTTTTGCAAAACAGCTGTTCTCACACTGCAATGCTGAGCATCAAAATACATACTCAGCAAGGCTTGATTACATTTTGCACATTAACTACTTTCTACTCATCAAACAATTCTACAAGGATGAAAATATAGGCAGCTCTGAAGCTTGTTCATACATCAGCTTTATTTTCAGAACTTGCATGGATGGTCCACTCAGGAGCACTCCTGCAAAATAATTGAACCCACTTAGTCTGGGAAGGATTCAAATAGGTTGGGCCCCTTGGCCTCCCCTTCTCCAGGGCATGGTCTGATTTTAAGGCCCTGAATTCCCTATGCTGGAACAGCTGCAATTTCCTCTGACGATAAGGCTATCTTCTTGGTGTCATCGATGCAAGGCTTGCCTGAATTAAATACTTTTTAGCTCAGTCCATGATATAGGCTCCTGCAAAAAGAAAATGTCATCAATTCCCCACCCCACAGCCCTCTGTACCCGGACTCCGGTGAGGAACCGACTTTTCCGTCAAAGGGGTTCAGGGTGAGTCCACTCTATCCAGCCAGGAGGGTGAGACAATTCAAATGGGTTGGGCCCCTTTCCCCCTTCTCCATAGCAAGGGGCGCTTCTATCACACACAATTGAACCCAAGTAGTCCAAGAGGGATTCAGAAAGTTGAGCTCCTTGCCCCCTTCCCCCCCCCCCCCCGGGAAAAGTCTGGCTTTTTAGAGTCTGGATTCCCTGTGCTAGAAAAGCTGTAATTTCCTCAGGTGACAGGGTTATCCAGAGAGGCCTCATCCAGATGAAAAAGCTCTCATCTCCGTCTCTGCTGTGTGTTCCTGCAACAAGTCTATGGGAGAGTCTGCTGTGTGTTCCTGCAACAAGTCTATGGGAGATTCTACACTCGTCTTTCCTGCTGTTGCCTCTCCAAACCCACATTGGAACACAAATTTCACTGTGCATTGCATGCAGCTCCTGGTTTCCTTGTGCATCAATTAACTTTTGAGCGTCCACATTGTTTTATTGCCATCTAGTGGTGATTCCACACTCACCATGGCGTCTCCCTGGGTTATTTGGATGTGGTTTTGCACTGGACCATTTGCTCCTCCCCGCCACCGATTTGCTGTGAACAATATGCAGACTACTTGATGCGGATTCCTTTGATGTTCCCTCCTTCGGCCCGCCTCTGTTTTTTCTCACCACTCATGAATTTGCTTAGATATCCACCAGGTGGAAGTCCTCTGTCTTTTTTGTTGCCTCATTTAATCTCTTTTAAACAACTGTGGATTAGATGCACAATGCAATCATATATCCTGAGCCAAAAATGGAACCGCTTCCACAGCAGAGAAAGAGTGGATTATAAACCAGATGCAGAATCACCCTATAGCATTTATTCCGCACCCCTGTAGCCTTTTGCACCGCGGTTCCCATGGGAACTGGCTTTTCCATAAGAGTGGTTCAGGGGGAGTCCATTACAGCCAGCCAGGAGGGTGTGACAAATCAGGAGTTTTAATTTTTTTATTCTCAATAATTTTCAACAATATACATTATATACGCATAAAGAAGAAGAAGAAGAGAAGAGATTGGATTTGTATCCCTCCCTTCACTACCCAAGGGAGTCTCAGAGCGGCTTACAAACTCCTTTCCCTTTTCCTCCCCACAACAGACACCCTGTGAGGTAGGTGGGGCTGAGAGAGCTCTGACAGAAACTGCTCTTTTTCAAGGACAGCTGTGCCAGAACTATGGCTTGCCCAAGGTCATCCAGCAGGTGCAAGTGGACGAGTGGGGAATCAAACCCGGTTCTCCCAGATTAGAGTCCATGCACTTAACCACTACACCAAACAAAGGAATCCACTAAAAGATAAACTACATTTAACAATATGGGTGTATACACTTGGCTTAATATGTTTCCAATATAACCCAAATTAAGATTGTACAAAGAATAAATCTTCTATATAACACTAGACAAGCGAAATAATGAAATTTAACTATTACTCCTTTACAAAAGCAACATATCATGAAAATAAGGGTTCAAGGGAATTATTCCCTCGTCAGACAGCTAAAACTAGGCATCATACCCTAAAAGCTGGCTACCAGTCATATAATCATTAATTAAGCTATCCCAAACACTTGCATGAGCCAGGCCATCTTTAACCTGGTGTCCAGTGGCGGGAAGAAAAACCCCAGGATTTGAAGATAAGGGCTGCTAACAAGCATGAGAAAACGGAAAGTTCTCTTGGGAGCAACCGAACACCGGTCTCTCACATGACTTGGGGCAACTAAGCACCAACATGTAACAAAGATGGAGTCATGCAGGCCACACAACACTGTACATGGACTGTACCTGGGTTCACTGTAACTTGTGAACAGGGCTTATGATCATCAGTCATAAAGTTATTGTTTTGCATAAAGCTGCTTTCTGGGAACCTGATAACTGAATGAATTGCAATTAATTGCAAGCTTGGGGTTTGGGGGAGAAACAAAATGGTGGCAGGAATAGAGGTATGAAAGGTGATGGGCAGTAGGGGTGTATGGGGATCATGAGGGGAGCTTCATCCCTTGAAAACAGACCTTCTTTTGTGGCCTGAACAAAGTTAAAGTAGCTCCTAGTGCATGAGGCACCTAACAGCCCCAGACTACCCCCAACAGGCCTTATCTTCCATTCCTTCTAGGAGAACTGTGACCCAAACCCCCACTTCAGTTAGGGTTGCCAAACCCCCTGGTTTGCCAGGGGTCCCCTGTTTTTTGGGGGGGGGTTCTACCCACCGCCGACCCTGCCCCGCCCCCAGCATCCACAGCCACCCCTCTCCCTTCTGTCTTGAGAGAAAGGGGTGGCTCCCTTTAAGTGCAAGGAACCTGCGTTTCCTCCCAAGCATGATCTCCATTTGAGATCAGGATTGCAGGGAAATGCCAGCTCCGTGCACTTAAAAGGGAAACGCCGGCTCTTTGCTCTTAAAGGGGAAACGCCGGCTCTTGCACTTAAAAGGGAAACGCCGGCTCCTTTAAGTGCAGGGAACTGGCATATCTGGAGATCGGGCGGGCAGGGGGGGCAGCGGATGTCCCCAATGTGTCGTCATCACGTCAGGGATGCCCCGCCCCCTCCAGGAATGCCCCCAAAGTCCCCCGCTGGGGGTGGAAGATGGACTTGGCAACCCTAATTTCAATGCTGGGCAGGAACTCATATTCTCTGTACAAGGAAGTTTTGTTTTCATACAAGGAAGTGGTTTTCAGAAATAACTCATCATGTGGAAACAAAAATCTACAGAATCACAGGGCTGCCTTCACAAGCACATTGGGATTTTTGAGGTTCCCCCTCCCTCTAGTAACCACCTGCATCCCACAGCAAAAATCCCAGAGGGCTGGGGAAGAACTCCTCCCCAAGCTGCAGCTGGGAGCCAAAGTTGGTAAAGAAGAGTCTTGCGGGGAGTCCAGGGAGATGACATTGACCCTCATCCTCTGTTTTTGCTTCCTTTTCTTGTATCTCTTACCAGCATGACAGAAGGGTTAGGCCAGCTGACCGATGGGGTTTCAGGCCTGGATGATTTCAGTCAGACCCACGAATACCACGTATGGCCTGGTTACGACTACATTGGCTGGCGCAATGAGAGCACCGTGAACGGCAATGTGGAAATCATCTTTGAATTTGACCGGATCAGAAACTTCACCACTATGAAGGTTCGTCATCGAAACCAATACTAGTTCCTGTGTTCCCTTTCAGTTTGCAGCTGAAGGGCACTTTGTCTCCCCTCCTGCCCTTTCCCTCTCTGTCAAACCAAAAATGGGGTCAGATCTTGTGGATCTGTTCCTCCAGGGATGGCGCTTTCCTCTGGTGCCAGAATCTTCCTCTGAGACAAGAGGCCGCGTTTCCTTCTTGCACCAGAAGGCATGCCACCATTAGCAGCAGGGCTATTTTTGGGCAGGAACGCACAGGAACGGAGTTCCGGCTGGCTCCCAAGTTGGCCACGCCCAGCAGGAACTCATTAGAATAATAGGCCACACCCAACAGCAGAAACTCATTAGGATTGGCCACATTAGGGGTGTGTGGCCTAAAATGCAAAGGAGTTCCTGCTACAAAAAAGCCCTGGGTTTTGACAACAAACAAGGTAAACAGAATAAGAAGCAAAAGGTGGGTGTGGCTGGATGACCACACTTCTGGTAACATGGGGGTGCGGCCTAATGTGCCAATGAGCTGTGCTGTCAGGGGTGTGGCCTAATATGCTAATGATTTTCTGCTGTTGGGTGTGGCCTATTGTGCTAATGAGTTCCTGCTGGGCTTTTTCTACAAAAAAAGCCCTGATTAGCAGAATGGATCTACAGCACCCAACCCATTATTATTTCTCAGGAGTACCTATATTTCTGGCCAACTTCCTGAATGACCACTGTTATGAACAATCACATGGGCCTTTGTGGTAGATACACATGCTAAAAGCCCACATCCTTTAGCTCAGGATAATTTGACCTGAAGTTACATTTGTATAGTTATTTTGCAATCTGACACTACATTCTTGATTGGTGGGTAGGGAGAACCAGGATGACTAAAGACATTTTGTACTGGGGCAGAAAATCCAGACAGTATCCCCCCAGCTCATTATCATTAGACGGTACCAATTGGATCTTTCTTCTTTTCAAGCCTTGTGCAGCTCCTGTTCATTTCATTGGAGCTTGTGGAGGAGAACTTCCCCAATCTGCTTCCCACTCTGATGCCCTTCAAGACATGCGACATTCACCGCTAAAGGCGGTGCCTCTTGCTTAGGGTTGACAAACTCCAGGTGGTAGCTGGAGATCTCCTGCTATTACAACTGATCTCCAGGTGACAGAGATCAGTGCATCTGAAGAAAATGGCCTCTTTGGAAGGTGGAGTCTATGGCATTATACCCCACTGAAGTTGTCCCCTCCCCAAACCTTACCCTCCTCAGGTTTCACCCCCAAAATCTCCAGGTATTCCCAACCCGGAGCTGGCAACCCTACTCTTGCTACTGCCAAACCTTAGCAGGGAATCTCAGTCCCGGAAAATCCCGAATTGCAGCAATTTCAGTTCTATGTAGCTAATCACAGAAGGAAAGAGGAGAGCAGAACTAAGGATAATGCCTTTCCCACCATCCCGAGTGTGGCTGGTTCCACTTGAGAAGAAGAAAAAATCTGAGTCTCAAATAAATCATGTTGCTGTACCTCTTGAGGCTCAGACCCTGGGATTCTGTCAATCCATCTGGCATGTTTTTATTTTGCCCTTCCTCCAAGGAGCTCAGGGCAATGTACGCTTCTCTGCCACTCCATCTTATCTTCGGGACAACCCTGTGAGGAAAGTAATGCTAGAAAGAGAGAGTCACCTACTAGTTAGCTTCATAGTCACTAAGACCGATTTCCCACAAGCAGCTGTGTCGCCCTCGCTCTTCCATTTCCCCCGGTTGTATTGGTCAATTTTACACTCTTTGCTGCATGGCCGCATTTTGACCCGCACCTCCCCCTGATTTCCCCCGCATCTTCTCATTTTTTGAAATCAAGAAGCCACGGGGGAAATCGGGGGGATGTAGGTCAAAGTGCGGCTGCACAGTGAAGAGTGTGAAATTGACCAATACAACCGGGGGAAATGGAAGAGCGAGGGCGGGACAGCTGCTTGTGGGAAATCGGTCTAAGTGCAGATCTGAGCCTAGGTCTCCCCAATCCTAGACCAACAGTCTAACTACTGAACCATACAAGGCAGCGTTTGGGGTGGTGTCTTACAGATCAGGAGGTGGAGAGTAGTGTGGTGTGGCATAGGCAGGAGATGTGCCTGGCTGGTCAGGGAAAGAGCTTGGCTATTTTGAATGCTTCAAGTGGTGCAGCCTCCTGTGCATGACGGCCACACAGCATGGCAATAGCAAGTAAAGCAGAAAATTACCCTTCTCTGCCACCCAGGTTCACTGCAACAACATGTTTGCCAAAGGAGTGAAGATCTTCAAGGAGGTGCAATGCCAGTTCCGCTCTGATGCAAATGAATGGGAGCCAAATGCCATCTCTTCGGTGCCAATACTTGATGATGTGAATCCCAGCGCCCGCTTTGTCACGGTGCCCCTATTCCATCGCATGGCTAGTGCCATTAAATGCCAGTTCTACTTTGCTGACACCTGGATGATGTTCAGTGAGATCACCTTCCAGTCAGGTATGATGGGATGTATGCTGGTACTTTCTGGTGGTGTTGTGCATATGAACTAGCAGTTTATGTTCAGCTAAATCCGAGCCAAAAAGTATTGAGAAAATACCGTATTGGTATTTTCTGGATATTCTTTCAGCCTGATAGAGTTTGGGCCATCTTTCTGAAATGGCTGGTCCCCAAAAATCCCAAAAATATTTGGGATTTTTTGGGACCACTGGATAGCCAAAGTTAAAGGTTTTGGAGAAGGCATTTAGAGGGATCGCAGTCCCTTTAAACACCTTCCAGGTGAGTGAACTCACCCCTTGAAGAAGGTGTTTAAAGGAATCATGGTCCCTTTAAACGCCTTCAGAGTCATGCTGCTCATGTGGCTTGGAGAAGGCATTTAAAGAGACTGCGATTCCTTTGAACACCTTTTTTTTCTCCATTGGTTTCAATAGAAGATGGGGGCACCTTCTTTGGGGGCACATAGAATTGGAATCCCTGGTCCAATCTTTTTCAAACTTGGGGGGTTGTTTGGTGTAGTTTTTTTTTAAGGAGAGGCACCGGCAGCTATGCTGCAAATTTGGTGCCTCTACCTCATAAAACAGCCACCCTGAGCCCCAGATATCCCAGATTGATTCGTCATTATACCCTATGGGGACCATTGACTTCTGGTTGGTTCTACAATCCTAATCCTACTGCATTGTTTATTGAATATCCCATCTTCCAATTGTATTGACTCACTCTGTGTAATCCGCCTTGAGCCCAAATGAGAAAGGCAAACTATAAATAACATAAATAAAAATAATAAAGAAATAACTTCTGAGCTGCCAAAAACAACCCACCAGGGGAACATATGAAACTGTACTGAACAAGACCTGCTATCCATTTGGTACAGTATTGTCTCTGACCAGAGTCTCAGGCAATAGATTGGATCTGGGGCCTTTAGCATTCAGCTTATGCGCACCTCTGCTGAGCCCATTCTTTAACAGCCTTCCTGGGGTTTTTTTTCCTGTGGAAGCAAAAAATGAGGAGGCTTAATGAGCTCTGGTAAGGTGCCATAGAATTATTGAAGGACTACATTTGGCTTGGTGGATTATAAACTGTACTTTCCAATACTGCACAGAGCGTGCCTGTTCTATATGTACAGCAAATCAAAATGTAGTGAACACAGAGCAGGGCAGCAGAATTGCTCCCACCAACCCCTGCCTCAATGGCCATCTATGCATTTGCTATAATATCTAAGTAGCATGTATGTGCAAACACAGTGTAATACGCATAGCATGATCCTAGTGCTGAGTCTTTACCATTTGAAATCAGGGGAGTACTGGGTATTGCACATGTTGCTTAGATGTTACATGTCCTTCCCATTCAAAATGAGGAGAGCACTAGGTATTGCACAGATTGTTATTTCCTATTTAGAATCAGGAGATTACTAGGTATTGCACGTGTCATTTAGATGTTATACCTAGGGTTCCCATTCCCCAGGAGGGGGCGCAGGATCCCCTGCTTTGGGCGGCTTCTGTCCACTGCCAGCCAACTGGCCAGCGGGGGAAGCTGCACCCCAAAACAGCAATGTTGCACATCAACACTCTGGTTTTGGGGCAAAACTCTATGGTTTGAACTGGGTTTTACCATAGAGTTTTGCCCTCCGATCAGAGTGTCACCACACAGCATCCCTGTCACGATCCGCTGGGCCGCCGGTCGCCAACCTCCCGCCGGGTGCGCTCCCTCGGGTTCAGCACACCCCTCCCCCTTTTTGGATACACGTTGAGGGCAGGAGCCGAGGACGGGTTGTTCAGGGAGCCGGAGAATAGACCTCAGACCACGGAGTATGCAGAGCGATCAGCCTGTCGCTCTTGCCCGTCCTGGGGTTCTGGCTTCAGTACCGGTCTCTCGGTAACACAGGACCTCCGTCTCTCTCTCTCTCGCTTTCTCAGCTCGTCCCTAGCCAGTCCCAGACGCGTCCTCCTCGGCCGTCTCCTGGCTCCACTTTTATTACCCCCTCGGCTCCCGATATCCCTCTTGCTCCCTGGCCCCGCCCACCTTCATAACGAAAGACGCCGGGCCGCTTCCTCCGGCCCCGCCCTTGTTCCCTCGTGTGCGGCGAGGCTCTTCCCTGCCGCCTCTGAGCGGGCCCGCTTCGCTGCTGCACCGTTCTCCTCCCTCCCCGTTGAGTGCCTGCCCGCGTTGTCCGCGGCCGCGCCGTTGCTCCGGTTGGCCCGCGTCGCCTGCCGGGCTCTGCTGGGGCTCCGCTTGGTGGCTGCTGCCTTCGGCCGGCCGTCCTGCGTCACGGCCGGGGCCGCTTCCCTCACCGGGGCCCAGGTAAGTCGCGGCTCGTCCCGGGCCGGTACTCCCCTTTGTGCTGCCGCCGGACCCCGGCCGGGACAATCCCCAATGTGATGACTTCACTTCCGTGTGACATCATTGCTTGATGTTGCTGTTTAGGGGCGGAGCCCTGCCCCACTCCTAGAAGGCTCCATTCCACCCCCATTGGTGTATCGTGGAGACCTGGCAACCCTAGTTATAACAAATGCTTTACTCTAAAGGAAGGTGGGTGGCTTTGAAGCTGCTGCCTCGTCTTGCGCAGAGTTTTCTCATTTTGCTGTTTATTTAAATAATACCATGTGGCTAGATCTATGGCAAGCTGAGTGCTTCTGAATTAGGAAGTTGCTATCTCTAATTCTATCCCATTATCTTGTGGAGCAGCTTCAGAAGTTAAAGTTTACAAATGAGAGATTGCAATAGTCAGGAACTGTGTGTCTGATGATCCTTCCCCCCTTTCCTTTTAACAGATGCAGCCATGTACAACAATTCTGGAGCCCTTCCTGAGTTTTCCGTTACCCCCACTACTTATGGTATGTGTGATACTTTCTGTTAGCCTAGGATGTGGATCGTAGTGAGAGTGAGTAGGTTTATCCAGAATGTTCTTGTTAGCTGCTTTCTCAGGCAGCTGCTCAAATGACAATGACTGATAAATGTCCTTGGAAACAGTAGCAATAGAATAAGCATTTGAGTATAATAATTTGAGAAAGAGGAATAATGGCACAGTAAAGAGAAAACAGAAAAAAATGCAGTAGAATGGTGGGATGATACAGTGTAAAATTATGGTGAAGGGACAAAATATGAGGTTATCAGTTTCAGGTGTAGACAAAGTAGAAAGTTAGCTTGGGTGTGTAATTGTATAGGGGTTACAAGTAAGTCTAGCATAACATTTACTCTTCACAATATTTGTTTCCTGGCTGTTATAGTATCTTAGATGTAGAATTGAATCAAACTCCAGTTCTATAGAAATTGAGTCTGCCTTATAGTGAACCAGACCCTTGGTCCATCAAGTTCAGTACTGTCTACCCAGACTGGCAGTGGTGCTCCAAAGTCTCAGGCAGAGGTCTTTCACATCACCTACTGCCTGGTCCTTTTAACTGGAATTGCTGGGGATTGAACCTGGGACTTTCTGCATCCAAAGCAGATTCTCTACCACTGAGCCACAGCCCCTCCCCAACTAAAATTGGGCCAGCTAAGGACCTAGTCCTAAGAATACTTACTGGGACCTAAATGAACCCCAAAAGCCTGGAACTGGTCAGCCACCACTTACTACAGTACTTTATCCACAAATCCAGAAGGAGCAAAATAAGAAACAAAATTTTATCAAGGGCAATAATAGAAATATTGGGAATTAGGAAACTTAGTCAAAATAATAATCAAGCACTTGCTGTGTGTCAAAAGCCAGTCACTCCGAGCATTCATATATTACACAAGCTACTCAATTCAAGAGGGGAAGGCAGGAGTTGAAATGAACACATTAGCCAATGCCTAAACTCTATCACTACACTTGTTGGCAACATAAGATGCATGCAAGGCCAAGTTGCTGTCTGACTATCCCAACGATTAGTCAAAGCACATCCCAGCCTATTAATAATCTTTGTAGTACAGTACTTTGAAGTACTGATGCAAAGGCAACTGTATAATGCTTGGGATGGGGGAGAAAGCCTTTCTACGAGGGGGTCAAGCTGGCTGATGGAAGATGTGTGGTTCAGTGCCATAGAGGAGTGCCTTCCACCCTTTAATGAGCAAACATAACTGGGGTGGGGGAAGCAGAACATTTGCTGTCCCGCAACAGATGAAGAAGGTAGATGGGCTTGTGTACCACTTTCTTCAAAGGGCTGAGTGCTCCTGCATATGAGTAAGGAATATTGCTGCCTATAAGGCATATTATATAACAGAGGAAACTTAAGAAAATGGCATGGGCACAAGCTGCCTGGGTTGCCACTAGTTATGTCACAGGAACTATCCGAAAAGTGAACTCAGAGCTCAGAATTCTGTGGCCAGAGCTCACAGTGAGTGTTTAAATTCAGTTCTCAGGCATGTGTAGAATGTGTGAGAATTTTTTAAAAAATGTAGTTATTTATATCCCACTTTTCTCCCAAATGGAGATCCAAAGCAGCTTATAGTATAAAAATCCTTCTGACCCCCTTCAGTCTGTTATGAGATCTTCCTCCCCACTCTAGACTATGACCCTTTGGCTCACACCTTTGGGAACACCCAGGTTTTAAGTAACTGTGAGCAGAGGAGAAAGAAACACAGCAACACAGAGGAGAAAGCAACACAGGGATGGGCACAAACCACGTTTCTGTAGTCAGAGGTCATTTCGGGGGGGAACGCGGGGGATCGCAGATCCCCCGGGTGAGGTACGGGGGTGGGGCACATGACAAAGCCCCGCCCCCTGCTTCCGGCCGCCCCACTTCCAGCCCTCATTCAGCCAGGAGGAGGCAGGAGAAGAGGGAGGGTAAGTTGCTTCCTCCCTGCCTCTCCCCACCCCTGCCTGCCTGGGTCCAGGGAGGGCCTTCGCAGGGCTTCCTTGCACTCCCGCCGGCCTTGCAGGTCCACCGCCGGGCCCCTCATGGGGCTCGGCAGTGGAGCTGCAAGGCCGGCGGTGGCGGCCGGGACCGTTGGGGCGGGGTGTGTGGCCTTATGATACACTTCCGGTGATGTCAGGGGGTGTGGCCTTATGACACACTTCCGGTGATTCAGGGGGTGTGGCATATGCTAATGAGTTATGCTAATGAGTTCCCCTAGCTCTTTTTCTACGAAATGACCCCTGTCTGTAGTTCATTTCAGTTCATGGTTCATAGCCAAACCCAAAACTAATATGAACTGGGTGGTTGGTTCACGAACTGAAGTGGTTCGTGACCCTTGCTTTCTGCTCTACCCCAAAGCAGCAGGAAACAGAAACCAGGCCATTTAACCCCCTGCTGTCTGCTCCCCACAATTTTTCATGGGTAGCAGAAATCAGGGGTTTCCTCTTGAAAAGTGGCATGGAGCAGAAAGCAGGGGTTTAAATGGCTTGTGCTTTCTGCTCTTCACAAACCACTTAAAATTTGCAGACGTTCGTGGCAGCTCTTCAGTTTGTGAACTTCAGTTCAAGAACCACGAACCAGCCAAAATTCGTCTCAAACTTATGTTCGTGAGCCAGCTCGTGCTGCTAGCCATCCCTTGCTGCTAGCCAATTTAATTCCCTGTGTCTGGACATGCCCAGGCTTTTAAGTATCTTGAGGTGACGTCTGTAAGCTGGAGCATGGCAAGCAGAATGCAACATGTCACTCTTTTGAGTTTAAATAATCACTGGGAGCTTTGGGCAGAGAACTCCCACAGCCATCTGGTTTGTTCGTGTCCTGAACATCTATCCTATTATCTGAAGTTGAAGAGTTCTTCACTGTAGACTGTCTAATTTATTTATTTATTTTGCTGTCAAGTCACAGCTGATTTTTGGCAACCCGTAAGGTTTTCAAGGCAAGAGATGTCCAGAGGCAGTTTGCCATTGCCTGCCTCTGTGTCATAACCCCGGTATTCCTTGGAGGTCTCCCATCCAAATACTAGCCAGGGCTGACCCTGCTTAGCTTCCGGGATCTGACAAGATTGGGCTAGCCTGGGCTATACAGGTCAGGACTAGACTGTCTAATAGGCCCCTGTAACATTCAGCTGTACAATAAGTGGCTATCATACTCATGCAGTTACATTTCAGAGTCCACGCAACAATACAGAATTGCCCCCCCAGACGGAAGAAACAGTCAGACAACAAGGTTGGATGAAATAAGGCCACTTTATTAAATTATTAACTTTAAACTTAACGGCAAAGGGCAACCATGGAAAAGGGAGGGAGCGGGAGGCTTGCTCCCCCTATTGGAGCAAAGGCTCCACCGCAGTCTTGCCTGACACGTCCTCCTTACGAGGAGGCAAACGCGGCCCCCACGAGGCACGCTCTGCTGTCTCGTGCGGGGTCGGATTGTAGTTGTGGCACCAACTAGAGGAAGACAGCATCTTCCCACTGATTATATTTTGTAAACAGAGCACTGGGAAAATGCCGTATTCCTGCCGCAGAAGTGCTACCTATAAAAACGAGAGTTGGATGCTGTGCACCAGTATACATTTGATGCACAGTAACTGGTTGTCTGGAGAGGCATTAAAAATGAGCTGAGAGGTGGAATCCATGATGAAAGAGATTCGTTTGCATGCGTGAGTCCAGAAGCTTCCAGCTTAGAACGGCACTTTCCCTTCATGCACCTCAAGCTCATGGTTTCCTGGCCGTCTTTTGCTCTTCCTACTCCTGACAGATCCAACCCTCAAAGTGGATGACAGCAACACCCGCATCTTGATCGGCTGCCTGGTGGCCATCATTTTCATCCTGGTGGCCATCATCGTAATCATCCTCTGGAGGCAGTTTTGGCAAAAGATGCTGGAAAAGGTAAGCCTCTGATGACGGGCGCTCCTGCGTTACGAATGCAAAGCGAAGCCAAAACATTCGCCAAAGGTAATGGGTTGCTCAGGGATAGGAGCTTGTCGTGACCAAGCTGCCTTTATTGAAACTGGCTGATGCAGTGATCTTCAATCCACAAGGCTCCTGCATTGTGAGCCCTTGTACAGCTGCCTTACCTCTTTTGGAAGGACCTGCTTCAGTGTAGAAGTGTAGAGAGAGCAAGGGTGCTACCTCCCTGCCTCTCTTTGCATGCACACAGCGAGGAGCAACATGGGGGGTGAGGTGAGGTCACTCTGTGATGAAGTGGATTCCTCCATGGCTTCTTCATTACAGTCCATGCGCCTTCTGGACAGATTCAACGCACGACCAGAGTCAAGTAGAATTAAATCACATTTTATTAAGTTCCACATGCATTCAGAAGAATTCTTACTCACATCTTTTGTAATCTAACTCAGTTCACTGGCTCATGGTGAAAAGGATTGCGTGTCCCACCTCCTTGCCGTTTTAAGAGAACAAAGGCCACAGGAAGAGAGCTGTAAAACTCTAATCCTCGCACCTCTGTGTGCCGGATGCTGTGGGATGTCTAACTAAAGACTTCAATTCCCAGGAACCACTGCTCTTAAAGATATATGGCAGTTCTGCTTAACTACAGTTTAAACGCCGGCTGGGGCAGCACACGGAGCTTGGCTTGTGTTTCCTGTCCCTGGCTCTCCGTCTATTGTATTCATTTATTTACTTCACTGCCTTTCTCCCCAATGGGGACCTAACGAGGCTGACATAATTCTCTCCTCCATTTTATCCACACGACAGCCCTGTGAGGTAGGCTAGGCTGACTCCCCCAAGGTCACCCAGCAAGGTTCCATGGCTGAGAGTAGATTTGAATCTGGGTCTCCCAGATCCTAGTCCGACACTAACAACTGCCCCATGCTGTATTATAAGTATTCTTACAACAACTAGACCATTCCCTGTCTGATAAGGGACCCTTAATTTTTTTTTAACCTCGGGAAGGAGTTCTGACGCAAGTTCACAATAATATATAGAACTAACAGTTCCGTGAAACAAAAACTGGGCATTTCTAATATGACTTAGAACACTAGTGTGTTGATGATTGTGCCACCTGTTAGTATACAAGCATGCACATTCATAGACTTGCCTGATGAAGTGTTACGTGTAATTTAAAAGCTTGGATGCTTTTGCATCATGTCAAGGAGAGACATGCTGGGAGCTCCTAATTGAAACTCCACTTCTCAAGTTCATAGGGGCCAATTTAGACAGGCACGCAGGGATATGTGGTTTAAGCCTCCCTCCCCCATGCAGTTTTTCCTACCCAAATGTGTAATTCTTCAGGAAAGTAACTTTTCTGTGTTTTCCCTATCTCACAGGCTTCTCGCCGGATGCTGGATGATGAAATGACTGTCAGCCTCTCTCTGCCCAGTGAGTTCAGCGTGTTCAACCACAACCGCTCCACCTCATCAAGTGAGCGAGAGTCCAACTCCACGTATGACCGCATATTCCCCCTGGGTCCAGACTACCAGGAGCCCTCTCGGCTGATCCGCAAGCTGCCTGAATTCACCCCAGGGGAAGATGAGGCAGGTCAGAACACCCAGCATTTGGGAAGATAATCAGTTCTCACAACCACATCTACATCTCCTTGTGAATGATTAGTTATCCTGGCATACCAGCCCATGAACTAAATTTAACTTCTGCCTATTCTCTTACCAAGGAGCTGCGGTGGCTCAAGTGGTTAAGACGCTGAACTGCAGGCTGTGGAAGGTCAGTAGTTCAGCAATTCGAGACCCGGGTGCCGCATGATGGAGTGAGCTCCCATCTCTAGTTCCAGCTCCTGCCAACCTAGCAGTTCGAAAGCAAGAAATTGCAAGTAGATAAATAGGGACCACTTCGGTGGGAAGGTAACAGCGTTCCGTGCACCTTGGCGTTTAGTCATGCCGGCCACATGACCACGGAAATGTCTTTGGACAGCGCCGGCTTTGAAACGGAGATGAGCCTAGAGTCAGATTCGACTGGCTTTCGAGCAAGGGAACCTTTACCTTTTTATTCTTTTACCAGCTCATGGAATGAATCAGCAGTCCATAATAAGAGCTGGAGCTCTTTGTCAGGTCTTGAACAAAACTCACTCCCTACAACACTCTCTTGGCAGTGATTTGTTTATTGAGAGGTAAAGAGGTTTCAAGCATAGATGAATCTGTGTCAGAACTGGCTCCCTTGGTGCCAGTTCCCAATTATACATATTTCAAACAGTCCGTTCCCCCAGTGACCAGTTCAATCACACCCATACATTCAGCCTGCCAAAACCTACGGTGCCCCGTTAGCCCTTCACCCAGCACCTGCAAATATACTGTTACATTATCTAGCAGTGTCTGGTACTCAAGATCAAGCATGCATACTTCCCGCACGTGGACGCAGTTAAAAGCCAGCGCAACTCTCAGCAAAGCAATTCCGCACACACCTCCGCACACACTCCCCCCCCCAATTCCCATCCAGAATGGAACAAGGCAGTGAATTATAGATACCAAAGACAGGGGGGGACATGGCAAACGAGGCTCGAGTTTGACATTCTTAACTCATCCCTTTTCCATCTTGATATAAATGACCCTATAAACTTTGCTTACCCATGGAATGCTCTGGTTGACTTTGGCCAAGAAGTATCCCCTCTCAGCCTACCCTAGACCAGAAAGGATAAAATGAGCTACCCTTTTGTATGCTGCTCTGAGCTTGTATTGCAGTGTGAGCTGCTATGGATATGGAGTTCACAGTTTCATAGAGAAGCACCATAGCCCATGAATGACCCAAGATAATTGGCAAGGGAGAACGGCTGAAACATCTTTCAGTTCCTGGTTTATGTAGACCAGGTTTGTAAGCTTAGAGGATAACTATGAACCATAACAAACCTGAGAGAATAATCTCATCTGGTTTAGAACAGTAATGTGAAAAGGGCCATAGTGACCATTCATACTGGTAGTAATAGGTGATAACCGAGGGCTAGACTGTACATGATGAATACTGCACTGTTTTTCCATGCCAAAAAGAGCTTGGGGGAGTACTTTGCCCCACTTTGGAGCTGCATGTGAAGTCCAAAGTGGGGCAAATTACTTCCCTCAGGTCATTTCAGGCCCCGGTCACATGGGAGGTTTAGGGCCGGAAGAGGGACGGATCGTGGGGGCAGCAAATGGGCGCGATCACACTGCAACATCTGGGAAGCGGCGCACACCTGTCCCCAATCCAGCCCTTTAGGCCGAAAATGCGCATATAAAAAAAACCTAGAAAAAGGTAGGACCTACCTGAAACGGCGCAGCAAGCACGGCCGTGAGATCGCCGGCGCGCCCGTCTTCAGGAGCAATCGAGGCTCCCGGCCGAACTGCGCATGCGCACACATGCGCAGCTGGCTGCCTCACTCTCCCTTCAGTGGCTTCCCCCCAACCCCCCCCCCCCCAATGTGGCAGGGGCCTCAGAGTAGCAAAATGGCTCAGGGAGAAGCAGGAGCCCCTCCTTCCCCCGTGCTGTCATCCTGAGCTGGACTTGAAGAATTCCTTTCCCTGCAGCTGCTTTGTGACTACGGGGAAAGTATGTGGGACCACGGGAACCTGACCTCAGCTCACCAGATTTCGTCATGTGTAGCCCTCAGTCTAAGTTACGACAGATTTTTTTGGAGGTGAAGTCACAGCTGAGTTCTGACAACCCTGTGGGGTTTTCAAGGCAAGAGACAAACGGAGGAGATTTGCTTTTGCCTGCTTCTGCATCGTGACCCTGGACTTCCTTGGTGGTCTCCCATCCAAATACAAACCAGGGCCAGCCTTGTTTAGCATCTGAGGGCTAGTTTGAGCTATCCAGGTCAGGGCATTTTAATTTTAAGAAACAACAGATGCCAAGTACATCGTCAAGACTGGTGGGCTAGCATTCTTGGAAATGGACAGTAAAAGACCGGGTGGGTGGCTTGTTCAAGATCACCCGGTGAGAAAAGGGTTCATCAGAAATTGAAATATAAAGTGTTGATTCTCTGGGTGTACAGAAAAATTTCTAAATATGGTGCTGGCATAAAATTTAGTTTTATGAAAATCACAGCTTTCAAGATTTTTTTAAAAAGAAAATAAACTGCACCCTTATGATTGCAAAGATATGTTTGAAAGGATATGGACCACGCCTGAGGAATCTAGTAGCCCAAAGGATGGTTGAGCATGGGTTTCATTATATGGTAACGAGATTTGAGTCAGGTTGGGTTTTTCCTCCAACCTGACTCACATTTCACATCTGAGCCAGGCCTCACCTTAAAAGCAGTGGAGGAGGCGTCTGCTGCAGAGCACAGCGCCAGTGAAACAGTAGATCACCGTGTACAATTAAACAATATTTGTTGGTTTTTATATGCAATGTTGAGAATTCAATTATTACCAGTAACACTACAATATGTGATATAAAGCTTAGCAGTACATACAAAGTAATACAATACTAGTTACAGACAAACGACGGAGTTCTAGTACACTATCCGTTTGCATGTCCTTCATCAGGTTTGTCATTCTGTACTTATTTCTTCATTAGAATGAAGGGCTGCAAGCTGCAATGAAGTGTAACATGCTTAATAACAAAAAAAACCCCATAAGAATTACTCTAATGTACAGAGGAGCATTTTACATTTTATAAACTCACCCATATTTCAAAATGCTTATACAATTTTTGATGTACGCTACCGCGCTTAGATTTTTGATGTATGCTACCGCCCAGCACTAGGAGGTGCTTCTGCCTTCCCTGCCTTCCACCCTATGCTACTTTTGACAGGAAAAAGATGGCCACTATGGGAGCCGCTTGTCCTGCTAATGCTGTTCAAAGCCATTACCATACCAACGTAAATGGCAAAAAGACTGTCCTTCACTGGCTCTTGCAGATGGATGGAATGCCGTTTGGTCATCGGCTGAATTTAAGTCTTCAGTCATGACAACACACTACTAAATGTTTAAATTAGTTTCCCGATGGTACCTAACACCAAAGTCCTTATCATATACCTCACCACAGCTGAGTCCAGGTTGTTGGAGAAATTGCGGGTCCATTGGAACTTATGTCTACTGTTGGTTGACCTGCCCAGTGTTGGTACCTTTTTGGTAAGCAATTTTGGAGACAGTTACAACAATGATGGGGATGACACTAGAATTCACGCCTGAATGTCTCCTATTAGGAGCACATTGGAATAAAGATCAGCCTCAATGGATAACTAATGTTATTGCAATTATTTTATCGGCCGCTAAACTCGATATAGCATCTTGTTGGAAAAACTCCATTGCCCCAACTCACATATGGAATCACTATGTTTTAGCTAGACTTACTTTTAATTTGAATCAGACGACATCAACTGGAGCCCTCTTAGAGTTTAAGAAAACTTGGTCACCAATTTTAACTTATCTTTCTAATCAGAAGGAAATTCCAAAGGAATTATATCATTGTTATGTATAACACATGTTGATATATATATTTTATTGTTAAATGGCATACTTCTACATTATATTTACTATTCTTATGTCTTTAATTTTAGTAAGATCCATATGAACCTTTTAATGGTTGATGAAATATTGATATTTCTTTCTCTTCCATTTTGTATCTTTCTGTTAAAATTGAATTAAAAGGAGAAGAAGCTGGGGCTTCAGTCCCCCTGTAGCTTCATGAACCTCCACATCAGCAGCAGAAGCAGAATAAACTACACAGAACTAGAAAATAGGTTTTACATAAATTATGTCACAGAATTCAGCTTTCTGGGCTGAAAATTAGCGCAAAGTGTACACAATCCTGGCTATTGCTTAGGCTGAATAGCTTTGATGATTACTGACACTTCCCTGCTGTGGTCCTTTTTGCAATTCCCTTTTCTCCCTACAGCCCCCAGGCAACACCTCTCCCAAGGTGCTGTGCTGAGGTCCTCTTCTCATTGGTCTTTTCTTCCCAGGTTGCAGCGGCGCCACCAAACCTGCCCAGCCAGGTGGAGCTGAAGGAGTCCCTCATTATGCAGAGGCAGACATTGTCAACCTGCAGGGGGTGACCGGCAGCAACACTTATTCGGTCCCTGCTCTCACTATGGACTTGCTGTCTGGCAAAGACGTGGCTATGGCTGAATTTCCTAGGAAGCTGCTAACTTTCAAGGAGAAGCTGGGAGAAGGCCAGTTTGGAGAGGTAAGGACTCACTGATCACTCCTTCCAGAACACGTGAAGCTGCTGAGCCACATATTGAATGAGACTTTCGGTCCATCATGGTCAGTAATGTCTATTCAGATGCCAGCAGCAATTCAGGGTCTCAGGATCCTTCACTTTTTTTAAAAAATATTAATTTTATTAATAAGTATGATAAAGGACAAATACATATAGAACCATACATAACAATCAACTGCATTGGAAAAGTTGTTACAGAGGGATCCTTCACTTCACCTACTACCTGATTTTTTATCTGGAGATGCTGGGGATTGAACCTGGCACTTTCTGCATGCAGAGGAGATGCTCTTTCCGTTGGGCAACAGCCCCTTGTTTTATACTGAATCCCTTGGTCTATCCAGCTTGGTATTGTCTGTTCTGAATGCCATCAGCTCTCTAGGGTCCCAAGTAAAGATCTTTCACATCACCTGCTTCTTGATCCTAGAACTGGAGCTGCTGGGACTGGGACCTTGGGCATGCAAAGCAGATGTTCTAACACAGAGCCAGGGCCCCAACTCCACTTCCAAGTTCCAAGGGTAACACTGTGGAGTTTGGTTTCCTTTGAAAGAGAGAGCCTTGGCAATGTATCTTTAGTGGTTTCCAGATGAGGATAGGCCTTTGTCAGTTCCTGTTGACAGTGTAGCTGCCAGTACAGCACAGCAGCAATGGGGCTTCCAAATGGAGGGTTTCCCCACAGTTTCCCTTCCCCTGTCCCCCAGCAGCAGCCGTCCTCCCTCTCCCAGCCACGGAGGCTTTTTCAATTTCTTTTAAATCAGCAGTTTTTCATCATTATATCTACATATCATAATAATAATAAGTGTAATAGGCTCCATGAATTCCCAGCTTTTATTTTGTTTAAAGTAAGTCTCTATCCCATTCAGTTGCAAAAATATGTGTTTCCTTTTATATCTCCACAGTGGAGAGGACTAGAGACTTACTTTTTAAAAAACGAAAGCTGGGAATTCACAAAACTTTGTACACTTATTGTTATAACAGTATATTGACATAACAATATGAAATTGTGATTTTAAAAAACCAAGCAAAGCTCCCCCCAGTAGTCCGTGTGTGGGGAAAGCCACTGTGTGGACAGTGTCAGGGCAAAAGGTTGCTTTGTGGGCAGGAAAATCATGATTTTCCCACCCACACAGCAGCTATCCAGGCTTTACTGCAATCTTTCCCAAAGCTTCACAGCTAAGCAGTTTTGAGGAAGACTGGAGCAAAGCTGAGGAAACCCTGTGCGGTGTATGAAAGGATCATAAAGCTGTACAGAAGGGGGGGGAGCCAGCTTCCCAACCACATGACCTGTATAGAAATAGCCTTAGTATGAGGGTGAGTCAAACGAAAAGCTTAAAGTTGCAATAAAATTTAGAAACACCGTCTGTAAGTTGGCAGTATTTTCCCCAATGACATAAGAAGTCCTACAGGTGGCAGCAGAGTGCAGACAAGCAACACGCCTTCACAGTAGCAATGTGTAAAGATGGCCGCCCCACTTGAGACATGCACCAAAGAGGAGCAGCATTCCGTCATCCATTTTTTGTGTATTGAAGGATGAACTTCCTACTTGTACACTTGCTGCACTGACAGACATGCATCACCATACTGCAACTTCATTAGTTTATGAATTGCAATAAGTTTCACTCCTTCACTACTCAAAAAACAGATGACAGAACGCTGCTCCTCTTTGGTGCATGTCTCAAGTGCGGCGGCCATCTTTACGCACGGCTACTGTGATGGAGTGTTGCTTGTCTGCTCTCTGCTGCCACCTGTAGGACATTTCTTATGTCATTGGTAAAAATACTGCCAACTTACAGACAATGGCACGGCGTTTCTAAATTTTATCACCATTTTAAGGTTTTCATTTGACTCACCCTTGAAATATCTTTTATTTGCAAGTGTACAAGTCAGGTGCATTGGAAGCAAATAGGCACTCCTGGAGCAGGAAGCAAATCCACTAACCATAGATCGGGACTTGTATCCCGTGGGAAATCTTTGCTGGTGGAAGGGATTTTCATCAGTGGAACAGGACTTTCTTGTCTCCCTCCCAGGGGACAGGGAAACCCAGAGGTCTTTATATAGTCTGAATATAGGATCCAAGCCCATATTCCAAAGGAGACCCCCCTGCTCTCAAAGATGCATCTCCCCCAACCAATTGTGGCTCTCCCCCAATTCCTGTCTGTCAGCTTCTTCCCCAAATCAAACTGTAAAACTAAAACTTCTCTTCCCCCTTCCCACCAGCTGGAGGACATCGCTTTCACACACTCTCGTGAGTACTGACATTCCAAGGCTAGAGAGAGCTTCCTCTGCAGGAGCATTAGCATTCTTATATTGAACTCCTGACCCACATCAGGCTACACTATAGAGAAACAAATAGTGAATACTGATTTTTTTAAAAACCTCTGCACAAATCTCAAATAGACTTATCCAGGTGGATCTGGGCCTTGAGCTTGCGGTTGGTCTGGTTTGCTGGGTGGTTATGGTGTCTCTTTTTCATCGTGTTGGATGTCATACTGTTGTGTCTGGGAAACTCCCCATCACTGATAAAGGGATTCTGGCGGAATGATAACGGACAACCGCAAGATCCAAATATCCTTCTGTGCAGAACTTCATAAGTAACCCTGACCCTGAAGCTGGTTGCGCATTGAATGCATTTTCCAAGCAGAATGGAAAGTGGGTGGAGAAGACTCTTTTCGGGGTCGATCTAATCTTGCTCGTCCGAATTCTCCCCTAGGTCCACCTGTGTGAAGTGGAAGGGATGGAGAAGTTTGCGGACAAGGATTTTGTTCTGGATGGCAGTGCTGGCCAATCTGTCCTGGTGGCTGTGAAAATGCTGCGGGCTGATGCCAACAAGAATGCCAGGTGCTTGGGAAATATTTATATTATTTAGTATCTAGCCCAGACGTGGATACCTTCCAGACCGCCTCTCCCCATATGAGCCCCATAGAACACTGCGTTCTGCTAACCAGCATCTCCTGTATCTCCCTGGCCGCAGGGGTGTCTGACTTGTCTCAGCTAGGGCCAGGGTCTTTTTGGCCCTGGCCCCTGCCTGATGGAATGAACTATGTTATGAGATCAGGACCCTAAGGGACCTATCGCAGGGCTCTTTTTGTAGCAGGAACTCCTTTGTATATTAGGCAACCCACTCCTAATGTAGCCAATCCTCCAAGAGCTTACAGTAGCCCCTGTAAGAAGAGCTCTGTAAGCTGTTGGAGGATTGGCTACATTAGGGGTGTGTTACCTAATATGCAAAGGAGTTCCTGCTACAAAAAGAGCCTGGAGTTCTGCAGGGCCTGCAAGATGGAGCTCTTCCACCAGGCCTTTAGTTGAGGCAGCGGGCATCCATCTGTGGCTAGGCCTCCCCCCCAGTGACCGTAGATTAGGGCTGCCAAGTGGGGGCGGGGGGCAAGTAACCCCCTGCTTTGGAGGCCCGATTTCCACTGCCGTGAAATCGGGCCCCGGGGGAACCCCGCCCCCCCGAAGCGCAGCGTGGCTGCATCACAGGAAGTTACGCAACCACGTAGATTACGTTGGGGGCGTGGCCCCAATCGTTGGAGGGAAAACTCCCCTGCCGGTGAGTCCAATCGACTTGGCAACCCTACCGTAGATCCTGAACGCTGGTCTGGGACCACAGTATCTGTTGCGTGGCGCACTGTTGTTTTAAATACCAGTGATCTTATTGACTTGAGATCAATGATTTTATGGTTTTTAACTGATTATTGTTTTAAATTGTAAATCTGCATTAACTGCAGATATATACAGGTTGGTACCCACCCTGAGCCTACAATGTGGGGAGGGTGAGATCTAAGCTTAATGAAATAAATAAATAAATAGCCCAGGCTAACCAGATCTCGGAAGCTAAGCAGGCTTGGCCCTGGCTAGTATTTGGATGGGAGACCTCCAAGGAATACCAGAGGTGTGATGTGGAGGCAGGCAATGCCAAACCACCTCTGAACGTCTCTTGCCTTGAGAACCCTACCTGGTGGGTCACCATATATCAGCTGTGACTTGATGGCACTTTCCACCACCACCTTTTCATCTGCCAGTCCTCCAAGGAGCTCAGGGTGGCGTGCATCAATCAGGGCTATTTTTGGGCAGGAGCGCACAGGAACGGAGTTCCGGCTGGCTCCTTAGTTGGCCACGCCCAGCAGGAACTCATTAGCATAATAGGCCACACCTAAAAGCAGAAACTCATTAGGATTGGCTACATTAGGGGTTTTTCGGCCTAACATGCAAAAGAGTTCCTGCTACAAAAAAAGCCCTGGGTTTTGACAACAGAGTAAACAGAATAAGAAGCTAAAGGTGAGTGTGGTAACATGGGGGTGTGGTCTAATATGCTAATGAGCTGTGATGTCAGGGGTGTGGCTTAATATGCTAATGAGTTCCTGCTGTTGGGTGTGGCCTATTATGCTAATGAGTTCCTGCTGGGCTTTTTCTACAAAAAAAGCCCTGTTCATGCTCCTCTTTCCCATTTTATCCTCACAACAAACCTGTGAAGTAGGTGAGGCTGGGAAAGAGGGACTGGCCCCAAGGTCACCCAGTGAGCTTCACAACTGAAAGTGGGCTTGAACTTGACTTTCCAGATCCTAGTTTGACACGCTAACCACTGTGCCACACTGGCTCCTGACGTGCTGAACGGGCAGTGTTCTTAAGAGCAAAGGCTTGCGGGACTTCAGAACCAAGGAACAGAAGTCAGCTATAGCAAAATCTACATAGCGTAGAAAAACAGAAAGGTGCAGGCTCATGGAGCCCCCAAATTCTGCCACAGTTGCCCTGAGCGGATGTCAGAGCAAACTGTGGTGACCCCTTCTCAGAGTTGCCTGCCCAGCTCAAGGACAACTGCCCATTTCAAGGAGCATTTTCACCACTAAAGCTCCCCTTCTTCGTTTCCGAAAGGAATGACTTTCTCAAGGAGATTAAAATCATGTCCCGGCTGAAGGACCCCAACATCATCCGGCTGTTGGCTGTGTGCATCGCCGATGACCCTCTCTGCATGATCACAGAGTACATGGAGAACGGGGACCTCAATCAGTTCTTGTCCCGCCAAGAGCCCCGGAGCTTGTCAGAGAGCTCCACCTCTTCCATCAGGTAGCCAATAAAAGTTCTGTAAATGCTGCTCTGTATGATGCCTTCTTTATGTAGAGGCGCACTTTGTATGCTGTCTGTTCCACATTCTGATCACGAAGATCTAATCTCCAGGTATATGTATGTGTATGTTACGCAGTTTTACATAAAGGACTAAAGGCTTCACAGAAGGATGCTGAAGACTTCACAGAAAAGGACAGTACCGAAGACAGAGTGAGATGGTCCCATGATGGTGTTTTGTGAGGGGAGTCCTAGGCAAAAAGATAACAAAGGGCAATCAGGAGAGTCATTTTAGAGTGTAGGAGGCTTTCAGCAAAGTATTGGAGTTAAATTTGTCCAGCTGTTTTAATGGTCTTTTTGACCTGTTTTATAAATATAATTCAGGCTGCTGAATGTTGTTTTATGCTGTTTTTATGCCCATGGCTTTCTTTGCATGGCATGTTTTTAATATTCAATTACCAATTTTTTTAAAAAAATTAAGAGCCCCCTAGTGGCCACCACAGGGACATGGGCAGGGGAAATGGCTACTGTGTGAGTGAGACTAGGAAAATCTT